CATCTTGTCTGTACCGCCCAACAACAACTACTACGATGGACTCAGAGAAGCAGAGTCTAAGGTAAATGTATACTGCATATTCTATGTGGTTGTAGCCCATTTATTCATGAACGAAATATCCCCTTTGGAAAGTTTACACTCTTTCCAGAGGAGATAAAAACGATCGCTCCTAAGAATATCCTTCAATTCTTGTCCCTGACGGGTCTAGGTAGCGAACTCTGAAAAGGGCGAGCACAATAGATCTATGTAGTTCGCAGTGCTACAGGTGCTAAACCTGACAATAGCCCATACAACCCAATAAAAAAAAAAATGTAAATCTATACTTGAGTTGAATTAGGTTTTGTTGTTTTTTAATTGTCAAACTGATCACCTCGGCGGTCTAGTGGTTAAGAACACTACTTTACGTCCGATGGTCGTGGGTTCGATTCTCGAACGGCACAAACATTTGTATTCATAAATATAATTGTTTGTATCGGTCTGGGTATTTTCTATGTATAATATGTATGTATTTACGAAAAAAATGTCTAACACAAGGTTTAGCTAGCTTAACTTGGGTCTAGATGGCGCTGTATAAATTGTCCTGAGATTATTATGATATCTGTAAATGTATCATTATGATCTATATGATATATGATATTAGATAAAATACCATTTCTGAAAATTAAGAGAAAGTAAATAGAAATCACGAACTAACAAATAAACAAAACTGTTTTCCTTTTTCAGTTTCCGGTCCACCCAGGAAACAGCATCGTCGGCATTGCTGATACAATATCAAATGTTAACAACAATGGTTTAGATAGCGGCAAGAATTACAGACCTCCAACATCATGGTCTACCGGCGTCGGAGACAGAGGTCAATCTTCAAATAACAAGCCGGTCGTCAATCAAGAGCAGACTCATGACAATATAGCTGGTGCTGCATCACAAACCTTTACACCAACCTTCAGCACTCCTCAGGATACTGAAGCATCTGTTTCGCAAACTACCAGAAAACCTAATAATAAAATTCCAACTCTAGATTTAAATCCACTACTACCTCCATTCTCGACTACAACTGACTCTTCCACTTCTGCTGAGATGAATATTGATCTCAGAATGGGAACAGATTCATCAGAAGATCCAGTATACAACTTCATTAAACGTTTCGATCCTAATGCACCGAATTCTCATAAAACAGCTATGACCAGATCCGAAATAATAAATATTAATGAACATCTGCCAGCTGGTCAAGTAAGTTCCGAAGACGAGAGAACTCCACGGAAGAGTAAAAATGAAGGAAACTTTAATACAGTTCAGCAGGACAACGATAAGAACTTTTCAGAAAAATCTAGATTTGATTCTGTTAATATAAAGTCCACTTTTACAACGGAACCATCTTTTAGGTCTACAGATAATGAACCAAAAGTGAATCAAGTACCACTACCGGAAAAAGATTTATTGCCGCCAAAAACTGATTTCTCTGAGCAACCAGCATCAACTATGGGTCCGCCGATCTATTATGAGTGGAAATGGGCAGTACCCGCGTTCGATTTCGATCTCCCTAAGCAGAACAACGCTACAGATGATGCTGAACAAAATCCAAAAGTCATTCAGGGGCGTAGTCCCTTCAGTTCTGTTACACGACCTCCACCCGTAACGGTAGATCCCACTCCAAGTAACACAGAGTACAATATTAGTTCTTACTTCGTACCTGATTATGTTTTTCCCTTGGATAAAGCACATCCAGGATATGAGGAGGATAACGCTGAAACGTCGTTCCAGGTAAAGGTTTCAAGACCTGGGAGAGCTAGTTTTGGGGAGAATCCTAATTGCCCGCATTGCCACCCCGCTTACCTCAAACCTGGTTCATGTGAGCCCTGTATTGTGAAGCGGTAACACCCTATTTTGTTATAGTAAAAGTCTTACGATACTTAGTAATTAATCAAAGAAAGCCATTGTACTAATTTTGTACGCATTAAACTGTAAATATACATTCAGTCTAAATAATTAATTATATTATAAGCAATTGACTACATTTCGATTCTTGTTTAAAGCGCAGAAAATAATGTAAGTACACAAATCAAATCAAAATATCTTTATTTATGTAGGTTTATTACGTACTTTTATGATATGTTACATCTACCGTCAGTTCGAAGTGCTTTTGAGCTGAGAAGAACTGGCAAGAAACTCAGCGCAGACTCTTTTCAGATGAGATGGTTACAAAAATACAGATTCATTTTATAATTCAATTTGAGAGAATATAGTGACCACCAGCATATGCTATTGCATTTTTATCAAAAAGAAGTAATTTAATTATTAGTCTTAATGCAAACAGACCAGTTCTTAGAAGCAACACCCGTTCACGAGTATGACGGACAAAAAGTTCTAAATCTCTACTACTTTTTTCAATAGGTAACACTTAATATTAAGTCAATGAAGTCGTGTTATTATAATAATTAATAACTAATGAAATATTACTTTATTATTGTTAGAAAATGCTGTTATTTCCGTTTGGTTTTATTTAGCATTTATCTCCGACAAATATAGCTGTATTTAAATTATTAATTAAGGATTCATTTCTTCTTCTTCTTGTTCTTAGCATTTTTCTACTACTTTAATTAAAGATGCAGTTCTTCTTAGCACAGTCCCACTTTATGTGGTAATTAAGAATTCATTTCTTCTTCTTGTTCTTAGCATTTTTCTACTTAATTAAAGATGCAGTTCTTCTTAGCACAGTCCCACTTTATGTGGGGTCGCATCTTAATTAAGTATTCATTTCTTCTTCTTGTTCTTAGCATTTTGCTACTTTATGTGGGGTTGGCTCATAATTAAAGATGCAGTTCTTCTTAGCACAGTCCCACTTTATGTGGGTTCGCATCTTAATTAAGGATTCATTTCTTGTTCTTGTTCTTAGCATTTTCCTACTTTATGTGGGGTTGGCTCATAATTAAAGATGCAGTTCTTCTTAGCACAGTCCCACTTTATGTGGGGTCTCTTGTTACCGAAGGATTGATTTGTTCTTCTTGTTCTTAGCATTTTCCTACTTTATGTGGGGTTGGCTCTTAATTAAGGATACAGTTCTTCTTCTTTCTTTTAACACTGCCCCACATTATGTGGGGTCCGCTCTTAATTAAGGCTATAGTTCTTCTTCTTCTTAGCACTGTCTCACTTTATGTGTGTTAGGATCTTAATTAAGGATTCATTTCTTCTTCTTGTTCTTAGCATTTTCCTACTTTATGTGGGGTAGGCTCATAATTAAGGATACAGTTCTTCTTCTTTCTTTTAACACTGCCCCACTTTATGTGGGGTCCGCTCTTAATTAAGGCTATAGTTCTTATTCTTCTTAGCACTGTCCCACTTTATGTGGGGTCCGCTCTTAATTAAGGCTATAGTTCTTCTTCTTCTTAGCACTGTCCCACTTTATGTGGGGTCCGCTCTTAATTAAGGAAATAGTTCTCCTTCTTCTTTTTAGCACTGCCCCACTTTAAGTCGGGTCGCCTCTTAGTTAAGGCTATAGTTAATTTCTTTAATTTCATATTAAAATTAAGATATTTATGTATATATTTTTTAATGAAAAAAATATACATAAATTTTACCAACCACCAAGTCCATTTCATTACTTAATATTGTCTTGACTCTTCGGCTACTAAATTAGGACTCAACACTACGCCGAACAGTCAACACTACGCCGAACAGGCAACACTACGCCGAACAGGCAACACTACGCCGAGAAGTCAACAGTAGGCTTCCAAACTTTAACAAAACTCTATTTCGCGAATATCTCGGTGGTTTAACGGTTTAGATCACCGCTTTATTTCCGATGGTCGCGGATTCGATTCCTCGCACGGCACAGACATTTGTATTCATGTGTATGATTGTTTGTATCGGTCTGGGTATTTTCTATGTATATTATAGAAGAGTATATTAAGGTTTCTTAAGAGTCGGTAACGCGCACGTGACACCCCTGGTATCTCAAACGTCCATGGGATACGGTAACTGTTTACCATCGTATGGGTCATATCCTTGTTTGCCAACGTCGTAGTATAAAAAAACAAAGAGGGTGCCACTCGACCTTAACCTGTTCTGAAATGTTTTGAAAACACATTACATGCACAATTAGTATAATATTAATATTAGTAATAATTTCTTTAATGTATCTTAATATTAAATATTAGCAATAAGTACCTAATTAAATAAACATGTTGGTTTAATTATAAGATGGTTACCATTGTCCATAAATAATATATAATTTTTAGTGATGTTTGTACAATTTAAAATAGATACTACTTTAAAATAGATTTTTAGAATAGATGTGCTTGCAATGGACATCTATTCCCAATTAAAATAGGTATTTTTAATATATTGTTACATACCATATTTACCTATTATTAAGTCTATTTACAATAATAAATAATATGTCATGTAGATATTATTTATATTAAATCGAAAGCTATGTTTTTTTAATGTTTTGTACCAGTTTACAATGTAGACATATTTAAATAATAAACTGTTTTGTATAACCGATATTACTGTTTTATTTTTTTACTTTATTCTTGGGACTTACATTAAATAGGATGAAAATATTTTTTATAGCACCTGGCAACCCCATATCTATACTTTTTTCATCTAAAATGTTGAATAATAAAATAGCATACACATATTGATTTAGTAAACCGTAAGGTAATAAATGAAACAAACTCACTTTCGTTTTTATTATGCATATTATAGTAATAAAACAAAATATTGTACAATTATGTTGGTTGAAATTAAATACTTTGTGAACCGAAGTGTTTTTTTACCAATTTGTAGCTATTGCCTAATGAGTAGTAAATAGTAACAATGTTGATAACAATATGTGCAGTACGAAGTATCCGAAGTCGTAAAGATATTAAAAAAACACCAAAAAAAGGTTTGATTGACAGATTTGTAGGAAGACTGACAGTCAAGACTGACAACTTTAACATACTGTTTGCTGACGCTGAGATGACAGCTTGTTGAGCAGACATATTTTTTCTCAAATACCGTTGATGTAGTGCTGTGATATTTTTAAGAAAAATATAATTTATTGATAATTTCTATCCTTCAAAGTATAGTGTAGTATCCAAATATTCTATCTAAGTATAACGTTTGTTCTTTGTAACTTCTATTTAGCTGTACTACTGTGTAAAGATAACCGTATTGAAACATACATTGTGATTAATGTTATTCACAAAATGGCCAACCCTTTGGCCGGCTTAATTGGTAACTATGGGGATTCCGATGAGGATTCCGACGATGCTGTATCTCCAGTAAAGTCGGCAAATGATGTTAAAATGAAGAATGCAGCTTTTCAAGGCCCTTCGATGGTATCACATGCGTCCGCGTCCATTCACCCCGCTCCAGTACAATATTGTCGTAAGTAAAAACTAAACATTAATTTACGAAAGTTAGTAGTAGTAAAATGTATTTTGTTGATGAAGTAATTAGTGTACATTATAAAACGGTACATTTTCTTGGGCATCCAATATCTCGCCATCTTATTCAAGTTAAGCTGAAGCGAGATAAATAAGTAATTTGTACAGAAAAAGATTGCAGACAGTATAAAATAAGGTTATGAACATGTTGCTGGATATCTATCTAAAATTTCTTAATGATAATTGCATGACTCAAAGCAATTATTAATCCATTATTTCAAATATTTTGCAATATCTAGTTTGCTCAATAGAACTTGAGAATTCTATAATTAAAGCTATTTTATTTTCTTTGTGCTAGTATGTTTATGTGTCTTTTTTTAATATTTAACATGTTAATCTCCATGTCAGTCATATGGTTCTGACGCTAAGAAGTTCTACATGAGCCATGTAAGACATATATGTCTGACATACGCGATTTGGTAGAAGGTGCGGTGTTCAAAACAACAGGTTAATACTTGTTGTATCTTGTTTGGATGCGTCAGACATATAAGACTGACAAGGCTTGTAGAAAAAAAAGTTTTAATATTGGGCCATGTCAGTATATGTGTGATATAAAAAATAGTGTTTTTCCAGGAATTTTGGCAAAAAAAAGAATTCTGTGATACATTAAGTTTCTTTGATAAATTTTTAACTAATAAAGTTACCATAGCCTAGGTGAAAATTCTTCTGATATTATTTATGGTGATAAACATGTTAAGCAGTATAAATATCTAAATGAACAAGATGTCATTTTGAATTCCTTTACCAACATTCAATGTGTTGTATCTCTCTCAGGTATCGCTATCAAGCTCTCAGTTGCTTAGCCCTATTTTAATTTTTTAATTAAATAAATTGCAGCATGGTCAGCATGCTACGACGAGAGCAGTGGCTTCACATATTACTGGAACCAGCAAACCAACGTTGTGACATGGGAGGCGCCTCCCGAGTATTTGCTCGCCCTCAAGTTGGCACAGCAGCACATGAATACTGCAGGTAAGGTTTAAACATTTGTTACAAGGCACTGGGACAGTAAAGTCCTCGAGTAGCGGCCGCAGACCGGAAGACGCAGCATGGGAATGCCTCTAGCAAGGTGGACCGACAATATGGTCAAGATTGCATGAAGGCGCGGGATATGAGCAGCACAGGACCAATCGTCATGGAGATCTTTGGGGAGGCCTTTGTTCAGCAGTGGACGTCTTCCACGCTGATTCATTTACAAAATACTACAGACTTATACAGATAGTTCTAGGTGCTGTAGTTCTAAACACATGCCGCATTGTTAGAAAGTTTCTACAGACAGATTAGGCCTACATTTGTATTATGGTATATCCACCTGAAATAGAACATTGTTATGTACTTGGCTTAGGCCCGTACATAACAAGATTACCGGCGAAAGTCGAGAAAAAATAATGAAAAAAAAAATAATAATAATAAGAAGAAAAATAATAATAAAATAATAGTATAATAATAATTCTCTCCCTGGGGCCCTGAACCCCGGCCGACTGTGCCGGGGGTAAGTTGCCATCCCCCTCCCTTAAGAGGGGAGATGAGATTTCTTTTGTAAAAAATAATAATAATCTCAGGACAATTCACACAGCGCCATCTAGACCCAAGTTAAGCTAGCTAGAGCTTGTGTTATGAGTACTAGATAACTGATACATATACATAGATATTTTTTTTTTGTAAATACATACATATTATACATAGAAAACACCCAGACCGATACAAACAATCATACTCATGGATACAAATGTTTGTGGCGTGCGAGGAATCGAACCCGCGACCATCGGTCGTAAAGCGGTGTGCTTGACCGCTAGACCATCGAGGTCGTATGACTTCATAATATGTTCATATAACTATAATTCTTATTTTAGGGTCAGCAGAGGTGACTGCAGAAGAATGGCAACTCTATCAACAGGCTTTAGCTGAGAAACAAAGTGCACAGCACAAAGGTGCATCGAAAGGTCCTACTAAAGTCGCACCAAGAAGTGTTATCGCCACCACTAAAGATAAAAATACCAAAGCAATAAAACGGAAGCATTCTAATAATGATGAAGAGTAAGTTATGTGTTTAATTTACATATATTACACAACTAGCTGTAGCCGTGACTTCGTCCGCATGGAATTTAACTTTATTTTTCTAAAATAAAAGTCGCCTAAGTTACTACTTATTACATCACCTGCCAATAAAAGTCCCGTCAAAATCGGTCCAGCCATTTCAGAGATCCCGGAACAAACAGACAGACAAAAATTGTAAAAAATGTTATTTTGGTGTATGTACCGTATTTGTATTCATATGTAGGTATATAAATAAATAGGGTATATTTATATTGACTTTAAAAATGACGATATATAACCATTCATATCATCTCTCAACCCTATGTCCCTTCTCAGGGTCTATCTCTGTAAGAAATTTCATTTAAATTGGTTTCGTAGTTTTGGCATGAATGCGCGACAGACAGACAACAGTTATTTTCGCATTAATTATTATAAATAAATAGTAAGTATAAATAAAAAGAGGGACTTTTTATAATATTTTCTTATTTTTATGAGTACTTATTGAGTCAGTCAAAATTATTTATTAAGAGTACAATATTATATTAAATTCTATATTGTTACAGGAAAATAGAACTTATTACATCCTACCATAACTCAGATTCCGACTCCAACGATGAAGAGAGTCCCGTCAAAAAACCGTCTACTCAACCCAGCAAGGTGTCAAAGACTTTGCCCAAGAAACAGAAACCTAAACCGCAAGTGGTTGAGTATGGACCTAGTTTACCTCCAAATATAAACTATTCTGTTCCCATCGGACCTGAGCTTCCGCCAGAACTTGTCAATGAAAATAAACATCAGTCTTCTGATAAAGAAGCAGGAAACTCTTCAAACAAAGATGAGGTATGTAATTATAGTATCATTACATAGTATAAAATAAAGTCACTGTCGCTGTCTGTCCCTATCTACGCTTAAATCTTTAAAACAACGCAACCGATTTTGTAGTAGTTTTATTAATTGATAGAGTGATTCTAGAGGAAGGTTTATATGTTTAATACATGTACACCCGGACGAAGTTTGGGCGAGTAGCTAGTATTAAATATATTGGATATATATTTATTTAGTAACAATTACAACTAGCTAAGAAATTCATCAACACAGCAAAAATATTGCTCCAAAAGAAAAGAACATACCCTGCCCTTAAAAACAATATGTATGTACATATACTGTTCATAATAAAACGACCAAAAAAACTGTATCATGTACACATTTTATTTATTGTTGTCTATTATTTTATTATTGACCTAGGTACCCACCCCGGCTTCGCACGAATGTACATGTATTATACATATAAACCTAGAGGAAGGTTTATATGTATAATACATGTACATCACTCTATCTGTTAAAAAAACCGCTTCAAAAGTTGCGTAGTTTTAAAGATTCAAGCATATATGGGTACGGACAGACAGCGACAGCGACTTTGTTTTATACTATGTAATGATTAATTGTTGTAAATTGTAAATTCTAGACAGTCTATTAAAAATGTTTGAAAATTAATTATTGCCCCTTTTACGGTTTATTTTTATACAATTTCCATCCCTGTTATACTATCGATATTAACATTTCAATTTGAATTTAAGAGTTAAAACAGTAACAAATAGACACACATTTCCAATTACATTTGATAATTGGGTTCTGTAATGCACCAATGATGATAGATGCGCCTGATATTTGCTTAGAATAACACTAATTTTATTGACATCTCATTCTTCATCACCTTTTCCCATATTTAATTGATATACATTTCATAAATTCATATTATCATATGTAATATGTGTGAATTCATTCTTCATTTTGTTTGCATGATGAATTCACACATTTCTTTGTACAATTCTTTTGATGTCAACGAATTTAGATCTGTTATAAAGCACTATGATGGTTAAGTTTTCAATCTGAGGTGCTTTCTGCTATATCTTTGCCGTATGTAGGTTGATTCTGATGATATGCTAGATTTATAGGTTGTTGAGATCACACAATTTTATAGTTCATATTGTATCACATTTGTAGAATGTAAATTCAATTATTGATAGTGGAGATCTTTGGGGGAGGCCTATGTCCAGCAGTGGACGTCTTCCGGGCTGCGATGATGATGATGATGATGAAATTCAATTATTTCAAGATTTTTTTTATATTATACAGGTTACTAAACCAAAACTAAACGACGAGGACAGTCAAGATGAAAATATTTTACTAAATAAACTAAAAGACAAAGCAAAACTGTTAGAGAAGCTTGGCGGCAAGATACCTAGTGATCTCCAAAAGATTATATCCGACGAAACGAAATCTATAGCTTCCCCGAACTATACAGAGGAAAATAGCAGAGATAGCAAAACCACAATGGATACAAATATAGATGATTTACTGGAAGAAATAGAAAAGAAAGAATTACCAAAAGTAAAGTCTAAGAGTGGAGCCAGTGATATATTTGATGGTGATACACCATCATCTCAAGTTAGTAGTAGGAAGAATTCACCACGCAGCGGTACTTGTACACCGCCGTTAGAGGAAATAAAACCATTGTTCCCAAGCGCGAAAGTTATTGCTACAGAAATTTCACCCTTATTTCCAAGTGCAGTGAATATACAGGAGAATGGACTTGATAAAGAAGCGAAACCTGATAGTCCAATGCCAGTAGAGAAGAAACCAGTAAATTTATATTTAATGGATTCAAATGAACATATAGAAAATACTACTAGAAAGAAACTAAGAATATCCAACTCTGTACTCCCAGAGCGTAAGAAACCTACTGTTTCAGAAACTCCAGCGTACACTACAAAATATTCAGAATTTATTGAAGGTTTCTCTAGTGAGAGAACTGGCTTGGGATTTAGTAAAGAAGATGAAAGTGAAACTAGTTCAAAGAGTACTGTTAGTTATGGCAATGGATTGGTGTTCACGAAAGGGGAGACGTTGAATGAAGAGAAGAAGGATGATGACCTGGACGAGCTGACTGAACTGGTGGAGGCCAAGTTGAAGTATTTGAACCAAGTCCAACCATGTCAGGTGTCTCCGGTGCAAGAGATGTTGATACAAATGCAGGTAATTTTTTATAACAATTTATTTTTCAAATTTATGTTTTATTTTTTTTAAGCTATTAATACAATGTAAATGCCATGTACGAGAATGGTAAAACAAAAATTAAGCTATAAATGAAAAATTACAGCTATTTGACTTTTGCGATACAATATTATTATTCAATAAATGAGTTCAAAAATCTTTGTTCATGTCAGTCTATTATGGATAAAAAGATCCTATAAATAATGACATACTATATTTAGTCATAATGTCGCCATATGTACATTATGTATTGTATTGTATTTGAGTATCAAAGATTAATTAATTAAATAAATATATATAAAAAAACTGTGTAAGAATAACTGAACCGAATGCCCAATTTACACTCAGCCCGAGTGGGCAGGGAAGTGAGCAGCGCGAGAGTGGAAACACTTCCCATGCCATTGGCGCTGCCACACGCGCTGCCCGGCGCTCCCGCGATTGTCGGTTTTTAGTGCGCGAGTCAAAGGACTGGCAGCGCGAGTGGCAGCGTGTTTTTACATTCAGCCCTCTCGCTCAGTTGTCGCCCGGCAATATTTCCGGCAGCGCGAGTGGCAGGGGAAGCGGCAGAATGTAAACGTAGCATAAGATACACCTTAAGTTCAGTTATTGTGAGATATTCTTATTGGTTTGGAACAATTTATTTCAAAGCCATTTAACCTAATGATGTGTAATTGACCATTGTGTTCAGACGCTGTTGCCGGCGTTCCGCGCAGGCGCGCTGTCGTGGTCGTACTGGCGGCGCTGGGCGCGGGCGGCCGGCACTGCGCTTGCCGGCCTCGAGGCCTCCGCCGCGCCCGCCGGCTGGACCTGCACCTTCCTGAGGTACTCGTCCGCTCTCTACCTCTACCGCCCGTCGCTGCCCACTCTCTCGCGCCCGTCCCGCACCCCGCACTGCGATTAGTAACCGCGGGGTGACTGACTCTCCCTCGGGGTAACTGTGATCAGTTCTGTACGTTTGATACGTCTGGGGACGCGAAGTGCAATAGACGGTGTTTTAGATAAATTTCGCAGTACGATTATTAACCGCGGTGTAACTGACTCTCACTCGGGGTAACTGTGATCCGTTTCTCTATGTTTGATATATTTGGGGGACACGAAGTGAAATAGACGGTGTTTTGGATAGATCCCGCAGTACGATTATTAACCGCGGTGTAACTGACTCTCATTCGGGGTAACTGTGATCAGTTCGGGTGTGATGTGGGTGTTTTGGGTAAATCCAAATTCGAGACGATTACTTATTAATGGACGCATGGAATATTCGCGAAATTTGATTTGATTTTTTAAAAATTAACCTTGTAATGGTTAAATAACATTTATTTTTTACTGACAGTGAACAAGACTGTCACCAGAAATAATAAGTTTATCACTGATAATGTACTGAAAGAATTATTGTGATAATACTTTGATTTACATTTAAAATTGTAAATCTGTTATAAGTACTCCAATTTTATACAACATTCTATATATTTTTATAAACTTTATTCATACACCAGCCACATAAAAAATGGTAATTTTAAAAATATAATGTCAATATGGTACCATTTATATTGAATACCATAATTATGTGACTAGTACTCATGTTACTTTCATATTTCTTGTTTGCTGTGATAGAGAAATATTTGTAAATATTTTGTGTATTAAAAAATCTAATATCAAGTGTATAATTGATATAAATATTTATGCAATATTAACTTAATTATAATTAAAGATATTGAGGAATTTTTATCTTGATGTTAGATGATTTTATGTTTTATCATTGAAATGACTGTATGACTCTGTAATCTGTGATATCACTGTGATCAGTACCTGTTAGAAATAAAAGTCTTCACGCTGCAACTTGAGTTTCTTTGTATTGCTTACAATTTTGTTTATAACATAAGATCTAAAATGTTTCAATAATGGTTCAATACCATTCATCAATATCCATAACTTTAGTTGTAAGACGTGAAGGAAAAGGAAGATCAAGATGCAACCGTTCGACGCATGGCTGGCTTCGCGCCGAGGAGTTGGGTGAGAGAATATGTTTTTAATTAATTCTTTTATATTCTTGATGTTATGCTTTGATTTTTCCAGAACGCTGGGACTGTACTTGAATTGGTTTGTACGCAAGCCAACTCGTGTATGAGGGTCCTGTTACCGATATAGGGCACGTAATTGTCTCTGCATTCATTCAATATTCATTCTGTTATGTATGTAGAAGATACACTTCGTGAACAAGGGTTTAAGTATGCACAGTAATATACAGTTCATTAGTTTCTAAGTGAGCCTTTTGTTATTAGTTGTCTGTGGAAACGTCAAGTGTAGAATAACCGAAAGGCGTTAATAAAATTAGTCCCAATATCACTTTCACATACACACGACACCGTCCTCGCCGGCGAAGACGACGATCTCAACCACACCAAACCGCGCAATCAACCTGGCGCTCCACAAATGTACCCCCAGTCGCCCCTTCGATCGATCCCCAATTCAAACGGGGATCGAAATTACGACGGCCTGAGCCGACGTTCGAACCCCTAGCGGCGCTCTCAGAATAAAGTCCTATCCGTAGGAGTTGGCCCACAGCCTCTCCATGTCTTTCCGCAGATTTGGAGTCCCATCTGCACTCGAGCCTATCGTCCCGTGAAGCTGTAAAGCCCAACTGCGGCTAATAGAGTAGTCTGAAAAAGTGTAGATATAAAATTTTACACTTATACACAGTTATTTCAGCTTAAATTGATTAAATTTATATTTGAAAGAAATAGAAATTATAAATATAATAATTAATATTTCACTCTTTCTAAATATTGTATATTCATTACTTAATGATTATTATTTTGTTTAATCCCGCTACCAGTACATTGTTTGAGATCACCTTACCGTTACCGCGTTACCTTTTCTATTAGTGATCAGATTCCAAGTCATTGTGTCTACACCCATATTGCGACACGTGTTTCGCTTCTGAACGAGGCATCATCATTGGCTTGAATATAAATTGGAAGCTTATGCTGTCTCTTCGGCAATCTGACTACGATAGACTGAAGAGAAATTTATTTACGCAAAATAACACTTACTTCAATAAATTAGTTAAATATACTTAATATTCATCCATTTTTTTAAATTTCGACTATAAGCTACTCATGTGATGATATACTGTTAATTGGACTCTATTTTCCACAATCAGCCTGTTATCTGGGCTGTTTTATGTGATAACCTACCCATATTGCACTGTTGAGGTTTCCAAAGTCTAACTAACAACATCGGGCATTTTTTTATCCTTCTGCAAGACTGGTATTTGTACGTTTGTCTGTCATATCGCAGGTCGGAGGGCCGCTACCGCTACCGGCGTGAGGCGGACGGTCTCGTGCAGTGGGAATACCCCGCTACCGCTAATATGGACATGGAGATTTGCACCACACCGCCGCATCCTGGTCCAGAGGTAGGATTTTAGATATATTTGAAATTGGAATCATTTGTTCATATAACACAACACATTTTATGTGAGCGATTGTTAATTTTTACACAACTTTTATTTTGGGGTAACTCCGAACATAGTAAATTCTTAGGTTTTTACTTAACTTTGAGGTAATTCCGCACTGGGGCTTAGACTAGTACACATTGCACTTAAACACATACTAAGCTAATTATTAGATTTTCACTGTGATTAGGTAATTCCGAACTGATGTTAAATCTAAATTTTGATTTAAATATGTTCATAGGTTGTCACACATTTTTTAAGAATTACTTGGTTTTATGCTGTCGATAGGATCGTTCTTTATAAAATATTCTATTTTGTCTCTATACCCTTTACCCTCGGAATCGCAGCTAACTTACTAGAATACATAAAACAACTTTCTTCACCATCTTAGAAGTTTTCGAGTTTGGCAATCCAAACCCGCGGAAGGACTTACGGAGCGACTGAATGCCAACTCCTCTCTGATGGATACAACTTTAGTCTGAGGGCAACGCTAGGTGTTGGAATCTCGGCTCAGGCCGTTTTAATTTCGATCCCAGCTTGAATTGGCCGGGGGATCGATCGGGAGGGTGGTGTGTTTATTGAAATGTTTCCACCTTATGTACAAAATTACACGTCGTCTACCCGCGCCGCTGCAGGTAACTTGAAGGTCGCGCAGCTGCGTCGCTAATGTTACACGGCCGTGCGATAAGAATTCCAGGAAGTAGTAAGGATTAAAGATGGCCCACGTAGAAAGTGTAGTGCTACAGATATATAATGTTTGTCAGGAGTCTCCGCCGCCGCCCCCGCGCACGCCGCCGCCGCCCGCGTGGCCCGACCCCCCGCCGCCCGGCTGCGACGAGCCGCCGCCGCCGCCTCCGCCGCCGCCCCCGCCGCCGCCGCCGCCGGTAACTTGCACCACACCACATTAATACTGCCCACAGAGAGGCAATTTGATTGTTAAGGGGACACAATTCGAAAATGATATTGTGACTAGCTGGGTCAAATTTCAATAAAAAATATAGCCTATGTATTATTCTGATGCCTAAGCTATATTACGGTAAAGTTTCATCAAAATCATTTCAGTAGTTTTTGCATGAAAGAGTAACAAATATCTATACTCACAAACTTTCGCATTTTTAATATTATTAAATATTTTTCATTAAATGTTTATTAATAATTACCTAGATATTTCTTCCTACAAAATATTATTTAAGTTTCTTAAGTGAGCAATTAAATGTTTTAATGTTATAAATTATGTATCATATATTACACAGGGGGGAGGGGAAAAAGAATTGTGGGCCATGGCACTATAAAGGTTGGGGAACACTGTTTTACACTCAACAGCTGCCTTTACACGTACGCTCTTTCACGCAGGAAAGAGTGTGCATGGAAAGTAAAATAAAAAAGTTTAATTCCATGCGGACATAGTTCGGAATAACTGTATAGGTACATATAATATATTCTAACTATGATACATATAGTAACATAATATATTTATTTTCTCCACAAAAACATTAGTATATATATAAATCAAAATATTTCTGAGAGTATACAATTATAAATCATAGTATGGTATGAATATTATGATTTTATATGTGTTAGTTCGTAAGGCATATACATATAAAAATAATAAGTTACCTGAAGCAAATAAATAAATAAATATCTATATATCTTTTCAGGAAATAAAGCAAGAAATAGGTGATGAATTGCTGTCATTCTACAACGATATAGCGCAATTAGAAAAGGCACCATTACCACCCAAGTCACCGGAGCCACCACCACTGCCCCCGCTGCCGCCGTCAGACAGAGACAAGGATAAGGAACGACATAGAGAAAGGGATAAAGCTAGAGAGAGGGAAAGGGAAAGGGAGAGGGAGAAAGAGAAAGACAAGGAAAGAAATAAAGAGAAGGAAAAGGATTCAAAGCTGAACAAGAAAAAGTCTAAGGTACAGTCTTTTATATTATCTTGTAATTATGCTAACTTAAGTTACTTATATTTTAGAAATTTTATTTTAATTCCACGCAGACAAAACAGCTAGTTTTAAATAATAATGAATTAATATAAAAAAATTACCAGTTGAGTTTCTTGCCAGTTCTTCTCAACCGAAGTAGCTAACTGGAGTATTTTTTGTTTTGCACGTAACAAATTTTAGCTGATTGATTCTACTTTTAATTTGGGGTAACCCCGAACTAAATAAACTTTCGAGTGACTGCACACTTACCACAAACTAAGTAAATTATTATGGTTTCACTTTCATTTTTGGGGTAATTCCAAACTGGGCGTAACGAATAAACTTTGACGTGACTATCCACATTGCACTTTACTACAAACGAAGTAAATTATTAGGTTTTCACTTTATCTTTGGGATAATTCCGAACAGGGGGTAAATAAACTTTGAATTGGCTATCCACATTGCACTTTACTACAATCGAAGTAAATTGTTTTTATATTATCCTGATATAATGTTTCACACCAGAAAAACAAGTTATTGTCTACTTCAAAGAACGGCAAACAAAGTCGGGCGCTGATAATATATGTTTAATGATCACTATACGGCGGGACGTATGCTTAATTGTGAATGATTGTTACAGGTCAAAATATCGTCTTCAATAGGCATGAAACAGAAGTCTGTGTCAAATTTAGTGGCGAAATGGCAACAAGTGGCTGAGGAGATTAACTCCGACTGAACTGAAGTAGTCCATAGACAAAATATAGACAATAGACACAATGGTAATAGACAATAGTTATCCTGAGATTCATTCGTACAAACAGTCCAAAATTGTTTTTGTATGAGTGGTAAATTTGCTTACCAATTTTTACGCGTCATTTTGTATAATTTGATATTAATAGGTTAGGTGATGTAAATTTATTTAACGTTTACGATTAGTTGTAAATATTTATGTATTTTTAATAAAGCCTCTCATATAATTTATTTGTTTTATTTAAATAATAAGATATATTTTATGTACAACACTTGAGCCAAAGGAAAAAGAAAATTCATTTCATTAAAATTATTATAATACTAGCTTTTGCCCGCGGCTTCGCTCGCGTTAATTTATCCCGTTAGGGGTGGAATTTATCAAAATCCTTTCTTAGGGGATGCCTACGTCATAGTAGCTTTATGCATGCAAAGTCTCAGCCCGATCGGTTTAAAATTGACAGTTTCATACAAACTTTCATCCCCATTTTATCCCCTTGGGGGTAGAATTAAACAAAATCCTTTCTTAGCGGATGCCTACGTCATAACATCTACCTGCATGCCAAATTTCAGCCCGATCCGTCCAGTGGTTTGGGCTATGGGTTGATAGATCACTACGTCGGTCAGTCACCTTTGAGTTATATATATGTAGATATACGGTCGAAGTGGTAGTGAGAGGTATACCAGTGAAATCACTACAATCTTGTTTTAAGAAGGGTATATTAAGGTTTCTTAAGGGTCGGCAACGCTCATGTGACACGGGTGTTTCAGGCGTCCATAGGCTCCGGTAACCTTTTACCATCAGATGGGCCGTATGCATGTTTACTGCCGTCGTAGTATAAAAATAAGGTTACCAAACAACCTGATTATCGGCTAATAGGTGAGATTAAGGCAGGCAAATGACTTAACACAAAGATTACCTCTGGTTAATTGTTAGTATATTAAAAAAACGTCCAGTATTTTTTTCATTGCCTAAGGGACAAATGAGCTTGTGAATAGAATAGAATAGAATAGAATAGAAAATCATTTATTCAAATAAACTTACATTGAAGCACTTTTGAATAGTCATTACATTTTTAATCTACCGCTCGTTCGGAAAACTGTCTCATCACAAAGAAGAACGAGCAAGAAACTTGCATTGCTCTTTTAAATAATTTATTATTGCTACATTTTTAAGTTTAAGTGTGTGAATACAAACCACCAATTAGCACTGTGGTTCAACTACCTCTGGTAAATTAGTATATATTTAAAATATAAATAATTTCCACAATTTTTTTATAGTATAGGCTACGAGCGAGCTTGCAGTTCTTAAA